AATAGACCATAATGGTCATTTGTTGAGCCAAGCAGGTCTCTAACATCCTAAGCCAAGGAATACCAAATAGAATGGCCAACCCCATGTCTATTGATCACACTGAGACTTGATATTCATGTCACATTCCTTCTCTCTTAAATCTCTCCCTGGTTTTAGTTTAGTTCTGTTTCACTGTTGAGGCAGCATCTCCTGTAGCCACAATTTGCCTCAAGCTCAATATGTAGCTGAGGATAGACAACCTGTATTTCTGATCCTCCTGCCTCCACCTCCAGAGTGCTGGGATTACATGCTTGTCCCACCATCCCAGTGCTGAGGATGGAACCCTGAACATTATGCATACTAGGCCAGCACTCCACCAACTGAGCTATGTGTCCAACCCCTTCTTATACATCTTTTATAAAAGCCTCCTTACTAGGGGAATAGAATTGCTGAACTTGAGCCTGAATCTTATTGCATATCTAACAAAAGCCTTTACTCTCTGTCAGGTCTTTTCCTAACCCTTATCCAAAAAGAGTTTGTTCCTATCACCCTGCCATCTGTCATAATCCCATTCTCCCTGATCTTCCTCCTTCTTCCTACTCAGGCCTAGTCAAGCATTACCTCACCTTCTAAGCCACTCAGCCTCCCTCCAGATCCCTTGACACATTTTAATGGCATCAAACCCTGAAACTGGACACCAAAGGAATGAAGCCTGAAAATGATCTCTTCACATTCATGTAGTAGTCCATGTCCTAGATTTGAGATGTGTGTATATGTGTAAATTGCCTTATCTTCAGTCACAGTGCAGAGCCCAAACCAAAAAATAATTTGTAAGTATCCTTATCTATAATCTTTAACGCTTTACTCATTTCAATTGTATTCACCTGTTTACCTTGATGGAGCCATGCCTGTGAGTGAAAGGAGAGGCTCTGAATATGTGCTAAAACGATGGTGATGCAAAGATAGGGGAAAAGAAGCAAGTGAGAATGGCCGGGTATTAATCTTGTCCCAGCTGTCTACCTTGTCCTGTACTGAACTCTCAGCATTTCCTCTCTGGCACAACTTTGTGCTGGAATTTACACAGATGTAGACAATTATGCCTTTGAAACTTGAAATTTGGCTTTCAAAGCAGTTTATTCCATTGTCTACACAGATGCCATTTGAGTGAAAATTTAGAAAATTCAAGAGTTTAGAAAATGGTGTCCTCCATCTCTGCCAGAGACCTTTCAGGCTCATAACATTTGGAAACAAAATGAGGCTCTCGGGGAGGCTTGGTGTGTATCCACAGGCAGAGCTGGCAGGGTTGCCACACAGTGTGCCTCATTTGTGCGTGCTCTTCCTTCTTTTGTATGAGCAGAGTCCCTTCAATGGGCAAGCTCAAATGCCAGCCACGTAGGGCAACCTTTCCTTCTGTGGTCAAGTGGTCACAAATCTAAAAACAGATGTTTCCACACCCCCAAAGGAGATTTAGAACTTCTAAACTCCATTAGAGGGAAAAACAGTGCTATGCAGATGACTTCAGCACACAAACTGAAAACTGCTTCTCTAGGCTGTGGTAGTGTGTTATACAGCCCAGAAATGGAGGGCATGTCTTCCCAGAGCTGTGTTTAGCTATTCTGAGGTTACAGATAGGTTCAGAAAACCAACACACCAGATCCAGAAGAGGAGATAACATAGGAGTTTTACAGAGTGGGCCAGGATCAGCATAGCAATAGCACATGGGATGTAGTAGGTTCATCCACTGGAGCTTGGTCAACCTATTAAATGAGACTGAACTTCCCCTTCCCAACAGCCATCAGTTGTCAATATTTCCTCAGGTAGAGTTGGGGTTTCTTACCCACTTCCCCTTATGCTGGGATTTTGTCTGGCATAAGCTTATGTGGGACTTGTTCATGCTGTTACCATTGCTGTAAATTCATATGAGTAACTGACCAGCTGTCTAAAAAACTCTTGTTTCCTTATGGCCATCTACCTCCTCTGGCTCTTAGCCTCTTTCTTCTGCTTCTTCCATAATGATCCCTTAGCCTTCGGAGGCAGAAGTTTTATATAAGTGTCCTATTCAGAGATAAGCAGTCTGCAGTCTCTTCTACACATTGGCCAGTTGTGGTTCTCTGGTTAATTATCAGTTGCTGTACAAGGAAGCTTCTCTGCTGAGAGTTGAGAGATAAATTAATCTACAGATATAACAATAAATCATTAGAAATCAGTTCAATATTTTATCTACTTAGCAGAATAGTGGTATTAGGAATCCTCGCATGGCCTGTGGGCTGCCTAGCTTCATCCTAGGCCTGACATCAATGTCAGGTATGGGTTCCATTATATGAAACAGACTTTAAATCCAAGTGGAAAGTAGTTGGTTACCCCTATAATAGTCATGCCACTATTGCACTGGTGGGCATATCTTGCCAGTCCAGTTGTTATAATTCACCACCGGATTCACAGCCAGTTAAGGTTCATGCTAAATGGTCTCTTCAGATATATTATACAGCACCTTCCAGTGTGTACAGCCCTACCACTGTGGAAGCTAGACAGTAGAGATAAGACTCTGAAGTCAACATTAACCTGATTTCTCCTTGTTTGTTCCCCAGTTCATGGGTGTAGTATCTACAGCAATAGAGTCTTACCATGAAGTTCTGGTGGGTAACCAAGAGCAGGGGCAATGGCCAATATTGTTTGAGGATCTATGGGACCCCTGGTCAACAGCTTCAAAAGAGGAAGCCCATTCCTAGCATTGGGCTTTTACTTTGTAAGCCTATAGTATCTAGTAGTGGCAATGTCCCTCTGTTATAAGGTAACTCCTCCTAATCTCTTTTTATAATGTATATGCATATACTTTAAGTAGATTCTATTTTAAAAGAGGGTGGGATAGAGAGATGGCTCAGCAGTTAAGAGCACTGGCTGGTCTTGCAGAAGACCCAGATTCAGTTCCCAGAACCCGTATGGGAGCTAACAACCATGCATAACTCCAGTTCAAGGGAATCTGATGCCCTTTTCTGGCCTCCACAGGCACTACACGCACTCATACACATAAAAATAAATAAAAAATTTTAAAGGAGGACACAAAGTTTAGTGGATAGGGAAGGGGAAATAGAACTGAGAGGAATTGGGGGAAGGAATTGAATATGATCAAAACGCATTTTTTTTTAAAAAAAGTTCCAGGCCAGCCTGGAATATAAAACAAGAAACTGTCCCCGCAAAAGTTCTAGTGTTTTCAAAATCTAACTCTAACTTTCTGTTTGTTTCTCTTTTACTAGAGAAGCACCACCATGCCCTATCACACAAGAACGCACAATAAAAATGGATTTTGCAAAAAGTTTTTCTTTGCTCTCTTCCTCTCTCTCTCTCTCTCTCTCTCTCTCTCACACACACACACACACACACACACACACACAGGAAAGTTCCCCTCATAGTACTTGTTTTAGGAAAGAGGGAGAAAGTTTTTTTAAGTGATAGTAAATCAGTTGTACCCTAATAAGCAGTTAAGTTCACTCGATGTCTTTTTGAATCGCCCATGTTATTAAGAAGAGAACACAATTGATTGCAAGGCATGGTGGCAATCAATTTCCCTAATTCAAGGCTCAAATCTGGAGTTGATGAATTTCAAGAAATGAATACAAAATGCTTGTACATATGTACCATGGGTAGGTGGGTTGGTTGGCTAGTTGGTTTCTGAAAAACAAACAACAAGGATCCAGAGTTTTCCTTAGATTCTCAGAAATATGTTGGCAAACCTGTTGCCCCGTGTTCTGATTTCTTTCACATACCCTAACATCAGAGACAGAGACCTTAAAATCAGGGGTCAACTCACTATAGAAGGTAGACCTCTTGACAAGTTCTCTGAGTAAGAAAACTAGTACTGCCTTGGTCCTCTCCTAAAGGACATTATACCAACCTCTACTTCTAGAATAAATGACACATGAACTCTCTCCCTCTATAATACCTCCACCCCCGCATCACTTATTCATTTCATGATCCCCAGAATTTTTACAACCATTTCTCTGCTGTGTTTCCCCGTTCCAGTAAGAACAGAGCCAAGTGGGGCATTCTTCTGTTGTGGCAAGACTTTTTAGCTGCCTATTCATTCCAGGCAAAAGAATCATAGCAAAAACTACCAGTTGGGTCCATTCTATTCTTGCCTCCATTCTTAAAGAAATAATGATCCAGGACAGTATAAATGCAAGATAGAGCTTTTCATACATACACATCTGCATAACAAGCTGTATGCAGCATCCAACTCTATTACAGGCTATAATACAGGGAAAGACTGGTAGAACCTCCAGGCAGGAAGAAATTACAAAGGTCCTGTCCCCGTCCAGACTCTGTTTCTGTTGCTATTTCTGCTTTTGGTACTTTTCATTATTTACACTTTACTCACCCCTGACTATTCAGTACTAACGATTGCAAAGAATTAACTTTTTTTTGCATTGTTCAACTCATACAGAATCTTCAGCTAGCATGGCTAATCCTCTAGCATGACATTTGATGTATCATCCAGGAGAAATGATAAACTATGACAACAGAAGTAGACTTAGACTGCTGCAGCCATACTGGAACTTAAGGTCACCGTATACTGGCCAGACCCCTTTCATCCATCACACTCTTCACTCGTAACACCTGCTGTGGATTCACCCTTGGCCCCACTGGAATGATAATAGTAGAAGGTACTTAAAGTACAAAAATAACAAGTCCCAAGTTAAACACTACTTGGACAAGACAATGCTCCCCCTGTATAGAAGTCACAGGCTCTATACCACACCCTATGTTGCATTATTGGTGGATTCCCTCACTGCAGCCAACTTCAATTTTCTGTTTGACTATGTTATTTTCTTTCACATATAGACTATATTATATTTAGTGGACTGATTTTTCTCCATAAACTGCATGTAGATTCAAGGCGTCTTTCTAGGCACATCATCAAGAAGACATTAGACTAATGAATACTTTATCAAAACCAGGATTGTCAGCAGCTTAGCAATACCACAATAGAAATAGCCTTGTACTTGATGTTCTTCTTACCACAGATTCGAAATGTGGCAGCAAATCTGTGTGTGGATAGCAAGCATGGAGCCACAGGAACCGAGCTGAGGCTGGACATCTGTGTCAAGGATGGTTCTGAAAGGACATGGTCTCATGAACAGGTAAGTCAGAAGTCATGGAAGTGGAGGCTAATGGGGCTGAGGACAGCTTGGAGGGACAGAATGGGCACAAGTCTCTAGACGGTACATGTGGGACTGGAATGAGGCCACGGTCTCTCAGCAACTAGATCTGTAGTCTGTGAGCTATTACTCTTCTCTGCTTCTTTTTCTTCTCAGAGTAATTGTGATAATAAGAAAGTGAAGAAAAATGTGCTTCACACAATCAGTCAATGTGCAGAGAACAAGAGACTGCAGAGTACTTATCCCTGAATAGGACAGTTATTATAAACCTTTGCCTCCCAAGGCTCAGGGATCATTGTGGAAGAGTAGGTGGAAAGACTAAGAGCCAGAGGGGGTAGATGACCACAAGGAAGCAGGTCTTCCAGATAGCTGGTCATTTATTCATAGGTGCTCACAGCAATGGTGACAGCATGCACAAGTCTTACGCAAGCTCAAACCAGACCAAATCCCTGCATAGACATGAAGGAGTGGGCAAAAAAATTGCAACCCAACCTAAGGAACTTTTGGCAATTGATGGCTCCTGAGAGGGGGAAAGACAAAGTTTTACAGGGTTAGGACTCCTGCTGAATCTAGTAGATAGATCCACACTGAAGGACATCAAGAGACACAAATCATACACTACAAGCCTTATCATATACATGAGAGTTCACTAAATTGGGCAGGGGACAGTAGGGGAAGGTATGGAGAAAGGAGTAGATCTAAATTCCATCAAACTATATTGTATGAAAATAACGAATTCAATAAAAATGGAAAAAAGATGCTTCAACATATAGAACAAGAGTTTGTGTGATAGCTCAGCCAGTAAAGTATTTGCCTTGTAAACATGAGAACCTAAGTTTGATCTCCCATAAAAACATGTGCATGTGAGGACGCACAGGCACAGAGGCCAGAAGAGCGTGTTGGGTGTCTTCCTCTATTATCCCTCTACTACTCTCCCCTTCTCCTTTGAGGGAGGGCCCATCCATGAACCTGGGGCTTATGTTTTCTTATCTGTACTGGAAACCAACAAGCCTAGTGATCGCCTGTCTCTACCCATTCCCCCTTGGAGCTGGGGTTACAGACAAGAACTCGTAACCACTGAGCCATCTCTCCATGCTAACTTTGAAAGCTGAAAAAAAGAGTAGTAGATTTATTCACTGTAACCTTATCTTATTAAGTTTTTCCACAATGACAGTTTTCAAAACAATAACCCTGGAGAGTGCTAAGGAACTCACCCAACAAATTTTCATGAAGGATAACTAAAGCAGCAACACCCCAGCATAGACTTTGTGGGACTTAAAAAGGCCACATGCTGCTTTTGCTTTTGATTATAAGACATTTCAGGGTAACTCCATTTAAGAAAAGTGTGGTTTCTAACCCAATTTAAAACTTGTAAGAGACTCTCCTTAAATTGTATCATCTATAAAAGAGAAAAGATAGTGGTCAGAATTGTGTCTGTGCCTTTTTGGTATTTTAATTTTAAATTATGAATATTTCAATTAAAAAGTATACGGCGCATCACAGAGATTTAACAAGAATCAATTGATATTGCCATACTTAGACAGAAATGCAGATGATGAGTACAGTTAAAGCCTTCCCCCATCCTACTTCCTTCCCTCCCCCTGCAGAAGAACATGTCCTGCAGTCAGGACACATGACCTGTCAGTGCCTTCAGTTTTTCAAAATAGTCCAAAATAACTATCTTATGAAAAAAAAAAAAAAAAGCAAGAAAATTCCCCATTGGCATAACTGCACTTGCATAGCTTTATTCCATGCATCTCTACTTATATATTGACCAGGAGTAGGCTCAGCTGGATTGCTCCTGTGCTGTGAAGAGAATCCTTACCTTATGTACTCACTCCATACTAAAAGAACCCTGACAAAATGGTCAGTTGAGCCAAAGGTCCTTAAAGAGTCGTTAGGGTACATTGAGATTCAATATGTCAATACCTCCTTCTTCTCACTGCACTGTCCTTTCCTGCCCCACATCCACCCAGAATTGCAATCAGAGCAGCAAGATGCTAGGCAAGCCCAACAGAACAAGTCCAGGAAATCAAGGCTTAATCCTTGATTAATTCTATCAATTAGGACCAACACTCTCTAACTACTCATCTGTTAGGTCCTTCCAATGTTACCCCACAGCCACATGGTGCTGCAGAAAGGTCTCTTTGTAGTCAAAGCAACATGGATTTCGGTTTAAACCATGCAGCCTCGTGAAACTGTTTGATATTTCTAGGCCAGAGATCCCCCATCCCAAAATAGGAGACACTGATACCAACCTCCTATACAGGGCTGTAACATCATCTTGCACATGAAGTAGGTGCAATCACTGTACTTTCCCTTCTGTTTTACATACACAAAGCAGTCACTTATGTTAACAACAAGTGAGAAATCTCTCTCAGGCTCAAGGCATCTGTGGCATGGACTCTACTAGTCCATTCCCAGTATAGTCATCAATTACTAGCTCTTGTTCACACCAACATATCCTGCAGTGTGGACAATTACCAGAATGTTCTGTGGCTCCAAGATGTGGTGACAATTACCAAATAGCAGAAGGAAACGCATTTGCTTCCTCCTTTCTCTGTCTCTTGTAAGCACTGCTGGGCTGTTGCCAGGCATCCCAGGAATAGTGTCGGCTGTCACCTCCAGCAAGCAGTTCTGACTTCAACCTGGGAAAAAGCAAGAACACATATGAGTCTATCAGTAAGACTGGCACTGGAACCAGAAAGGATACTTTCTAAAAGCAAAGTCAGCAGTTACAAGGAAAAGCTTTATCTCTTGAGCTAAGTTCATCTCTTCTACTCAGCCCAAGCAGGAAACATGTTCAGATAGCTGACTGGTAGGATGCATGCCGGAATACCTGAATCAGGCCTGATATTTCTATCCAGTAAATTCTATAATCAAGTTTTCTCTAGCCTGAGTGATTGGTTCACTTACCACCTTATTCTAAACTGCGAAAATCTGTGGCATGTAATTTCAGAAATGGTCACCAGAGGGCAGCACTACATAAGCCGAAAACAACACAGGCAGGAAAGAGGGAAAAAAAAGACAGTTGCTGTTAATACAGCTCTTTAAAATGATTTTCAGTCTCTAGAGAGCCTAAAAATGGAGCTATGAGGAGATTAAAGATTGGAAGGGGTGAGAGGTGAGCCTCATTTGAAATACATATCACCACATACTGACTTGGGGGTTAAAACATTATAAGCTGTTTAATTTTCCAGTAAATAACTAAGATTCATTCAATATTTTACCCAGAGACTTTTAAGAGTAACAACTTATTTTTTTACATTTCGATTAAAATTCCTGGCTGAGAAGTAGGCCATGAAATTATGGGTATTCTTTTTAATTCAAAACCATTTGTACAAAGGAGGTTTGGAGAGTTGAAGTGATCTTTTTTCCAGAAAAATTTATATTTTTTTTTTTTTGAGAAAATGAATACAAAAAAAAATTGTTACATAGGAAACAAAGAAGGGTCCGTTGGAGCACCTTTATAAGGAAAAAACTTTTGCTGCAGAACACTAGTCATGACTAATCTGGCTTCTGTGAGGGAAGCAGATGTATGATTCATTCTTCTAGGATGATCTATTTAGCTGTTTGATACCACTATAGCATTGTGTGCTGGCTCTCAGCTTCCTTTAGGCACACAAAAAGAAGAATAAAAATAGATCCGAATAAGGCTGTAGGATCTGGAAAGGAAACTCCCCGGATCCCATTATGAGTGCGAGGGAGGGGAAAGAAGGAGGGCACTCTCCTTGGCCTAGTTCATCTGTTCTCGCTCCACAGGCCCATCAGCAGGGGCTCAGCTCATGCTGGGGGGGAAGCTTTGCAGCAGGCCTTTCCTGCTGCTGAGGAAGTAGACAAATGCTCCCTTTCCAAGACCTGGAGGGGGTGATATGCAAACAGAAATGGAAACAAGTCAACCACATGCAGAGAAAGGACAAATGCTTTCCTTTGGGGATAAACAATCTCACTACCAGGACACAACATTCTGATGAGTACAGACTGAAAACCACATCACGATGAAATAAAATATAACTACCCACAGAGAAAAAAATTCAATTGTCTCATCAGGTTGCCAGATTAAGATACGCGAATTTGCAGCACCAGACCTAGTGAGTTTATTCATATAACACAATACAGACCCAGGCAACTTTACACATACCACATGAATATGAAAGCAAAGAAGTGGGTTATGATTTGAAATCTATATTTAAAAGTATTAGTCAAAAGAAAAAAGGGGAGAAGCTGGCATCAATTTACTTAAAACTGATTGAGTTTAAAAAAGAATCAGGAGTTTTGCATGAAACCTGAAGAAAATCTAGATACTTCTCTCCAGTAAGAACAGCCTAAGAGTAGGAGGCAGATCGTGAATACTGCAGTGGCCTTATCCAACACAAACAGGGAAAATGCTTTCATAATGTCTGCTCATTTCTGCTTTGACAAGAATGAGTGTAAGAAAATGTGCCTAATAAATGCAAGACTTGATGTCTGATTGGTTTGACATGACCATTGGGTAAGATAAATGGCAATAAAGAGCATTTCCAAGACATAAGAGAGAAAGAAAATTTAGTTAATGGGGGTGCAATGGAACAAAACAGTTGGAATGATTCAAGGATACATCACCTGCGTACAGACTGTAATCACCAGGTAATAATAGCAATAATAGTACATAAAACCCTACGAAAGCTACATTCTAGCCATCAGTCTCCAAATGTAAGAATGATCATTGCACTATAATAACAAACCTAGAAACTGGAAACAAAAGTCACCTAAGGGTGCCCCAAGATATAATTGTGACAATAGTTGCAGAATTCTAAAAGGCAGATTGCTGTCATGTAGGTATTCTTTTTGACCTAACTGATCTATTAAATGAAAAGTGGGAGAAAACTGTACAAAAGAAGGCTGGATACTTGAGGTATGATGGAGGCTACTCCTTCAGGCAGATTTTTCCCAACTCTATAATGGGGGTCTGTACAATCCCTTTCAATTTGGAGCTTCTGGGTATATAAAACTAAAACTGCAGGGAGCTAAACACAGAGAAGGAAATTGGTAAACCAATCAAGATTCCTTGATCCAAACCAAGCACAGTGGCACACATCTATAATCTCAGTGCTCAGGAAGTTAAGGCAGGAGGATCTGGAATTTAAAGCCAGCCTGGGCTACACAGTAAGACCCTATCTCAGGAAAGGAGCAACAGCAACTACAAAGATGACCACTTGTTCCTACATTAGTTTGACTGCTTATGATTCGACTGCTTATGGGAAATAAGATGTTTAAATTAAAGGTTTAATCAAAGCCAATTGCAAATTCTAAGAATCTCAAATCATCAAAGTTGAAAGTTTGAAAAATAATAATCATTATTATAGGCACAAATAGCACAGATTCATTTGCTGAACTGAAAAGATTAAGCCAGGTATGGTGGTAAATACCTACAATTCCAGCACTCTGGAGGGTGAGGCAGAAGGATCAAGAGTTATAGACCAGCCTAGGACCTTTTAAAGACTAATTCACTTATCTTGACGTTGCATGTATTCAACATACATTTTATTAAGCATCTGTCACATGTCATGAATTTATCTGGGTGCTGGAAACACATGACTTTTAAAACGCCACCTACTGCCGTCAAGGAACTTACGATCTAGTAGAGTATATGGAACTACAATGGACAACCATGAGGAAATGAGAAAGGAGAAGGTAAAGCTCAAAAGGAAGTCTACTTAGATGTCTGTATTGAGCAGAAGGACTGAGGAGTATTAACTAGACCTTAACTCACCTAGACCTGGTGAGTGCTGACCTTCCACACAGAAGGACCCTCATGAACACAGTCACACAAAGGAAAATATAGCCAGCTTTGTGTGAAGAACTATAAACATTTTAGGGTTGCTGGAAGATCAACTAAAAGGAAAAGAATGCAGCTGGACTAAACAGCAAAGGCCAGCCTGTGGAAAGTTCCTCCTAAGATAAAGAGTGTGAACTGTATTCTCTAGGGGTTATGTGAAAATGTGGGATTTTAGGTTGAAAGACAACCTAGCTAAACAAGCATTTCAGACAGACTTCTCTGGAGGCTAAGTAAGGCAGGGGTGTGGGAGCCAAAAGCAGAAAGATAGATGGGGGGTCCAGGGAGTTAATTCAGTCAACACGGTGCTTTTCTTGTGAGGACCTGAGTTTGATCCCCAGAATCCAAATTTTAAAAGTCAGATATGATAGCAGACACACTTGTAATACCAGCACTGGGAGGTAGACACAGTGGGAGGACCCACTGGCCAGGCAGCTCAGCCTATTTGGCTAGTTCAGACCAGCGAAAGACCTTGTCTCCAAAAAAAAATATGTGAACAGCATCTGAGGAAGAGCACCTGAGGTTGTCCTCCGACCTCTACATGTACACATATGTGCACACGCACAAACCTATATACACACGAAAGGAAGAAAAGACCAGAAAGAAAGCAGGAGGTTATTGCTGTAGTCTAGATAAGACATGTCAAGAGTGTTTTATGAGGATAGAGAAGAAGAAACAGAAATGTTTATGAAACAAAAATGGCAATATGGGAGGGCTGAGGACATTCTCAGTGATACAGTATTTGCCAGGCTTGTGCGAGGTACTGGGTTCAATCTTCAGAGCACAAAGGAAAAGAAGGAAGAGTGGAAAGACTTGACAGCTGATTCGATGAAGAAGGTAAAGGAGCAGAGGTAGCAAAGACTCTGAAGTTGACAGGTTGAATGATATTACCACCAGCTAAAACAAAATAAGGATGCAAGAACAGCTATAAGGAAAGAGACTCTGGCAAGCTTAGATTATGTTGACTTTGAGCAGGAGCTGGACAACACATGGTTGATGCATTTCCAACATACTGGTGAGAGCTGAACTGAGAGAATTTAAGACCAGCCAGGGAAGGAGAACCCTGGGCAACACATATGTTGAAAAGATGGGTAAAAGAGAACAGGCAAGATAGTTGCAGGATAACACAGGAACACATTATTTCAAAAGCCACTGGTAGTAGCTCATTCTTACAAGACCAATCAAAATCAACAGCAGCCCAATGGACACCAGTAGCCCAATGGATGACACTTCCTTGAGAAGTCATTCTCCTGTGTGCAGGACCTAAGTAGATCTAAAAATGTCTCAATGTATATTGTATTTTAAGAAACAAAACTCTAATAGGCCAAAGAGATGGGTCAGTGGTTAGGACCTGTTCCTGCTCTGGCAGAGGATCACAGTTTGGTTCCCAGCACCCATACAGTGGCTCACAACTACCTGGAACTCCAGTTCTAGGAGATCCAATACTGTGATTTGATCTCCTTGGGAGCCAGGGAGCCATGTAGTGCCCCTACATACACTTATACACATAAAATTAAAAAAATAAAAACTCTAGGAAAAGAGATTAAACAACTCCTGTTCATCAAGAAACTATTGCAAATGCCTAACCCGACATCCCCTGCCCTTCAGTTTGAAACATTCTCTTTTGTCCTGCCTTTCAGGAAAACAGAATATAGCTACTCACCGTTAGACAATCCTCTGCCATGTGATTAGACCATTTCTTTTTTTAATGCAGACCACTTAACCTGGTCCTTTCAGTTGTCTTCAGATTCCCTGCTATTTTACTACTCCTTCTTAGCCATTCCTAGAATTGCTCCAGATTCTCCAGGACCTGAAACCAGAAATATACAGAGGGCCTTGTCGGTGCCATGTGTATTAGCTGCATACAGCTCAGCATTGTGCTTGCTTTCTATCAGTAAGACTTCCCTGACTGCTTTACTTTGTAGCTCACAGTTCTCAGCTTCACGACAGCCAGCCTGCCTTCAATCCTATTTTACAATTATATAACCTACTGGATTTTAGGATTGGAAGGCATTATAAGGCTTCTCCAGTCCATTTTCCCCTTTAATTAAGACCTTTACCTTTTGAATACTATACATGTAGTTCAGCTCAAGTAACTCAAGAAAATGTTCTTCTTCAACAGGAATGATGCTTAATTTAATACATTGGAAAATATATAATATAATATAATATAATATAATATAATATAATATAATATAAGGATGGGTAACATAGACTAGGATAAGAAAAAATGGATTGAATATTGTCATAGAAGATGGGCTCGGGGTATCTATAACTCCATTAAACTTCTGTTTCAAGTTGGAGGTCAGAGACGTGAACTATATTTCTTACTGTGAGTTACAATCTAAAACTGCTTATATTGCCTTACAGAATTACTCTTACCAACCCTGGAGAATTAATTTGCCTATTCTTTACTTCACTGAGCTCAGCTTTCCTTTAAATTGGATTTTTTTAAGGTGCTAGCATCAATCCAGCTCAACTCTAAGCCTTGTGCTTTGACAGTTAATCTACTCATTAGGCTAACTCTGTAGTCCTTGATCCAGTTACATTTTATCTACATTTTATCTACAAATGGAAAAGGTTTATTAAAGACTTTCTCACCCTCCTCTGTCCTCCCTCCCTTCTCCTTCTCACCTCTTTCATTTTTCACTCTTCTCTCTCCCTCCACCTTCAAAATCTCTCTTCTTTTCCCTTCCTTTCCCTCCCCTCCCCTCTTTCTCTCTTTACTGGTACCTAACTAAAAACTTCTGTCATTTTTACCAGTCAAGTGCAGCAGCTGCTGCTATAGCACTTTATGAATCGTGCCCTTTTGGTACCCTATTACGCTGAGATATACTTCTTTCTTGTGAATCACAAAATGCGAGCTTGATGTTGTTAAGACAACCCACCCCCTGCTCTGGAATCTTTTTCCCAAATTGAACTCACTGCAGCTTTTCTGCTACTGTTGTTTTGCTAGCTCTTTACTTTTGGGTGGAGAGAAGATATTCGACCTGGTGAACCATTGCACACCCGGAAATTCTGCTTCGATGCAATCTCACACAACAGCCCAGTCACCCTCTATGACTGTCATGGCATGAAGGGGAATCAGCTCTGGGGCTACCGGAAGGTAAGAGTCAGTTCTGTGGTCATTCTCAGATTGCCATGATTTCAGGTTGCCTAGCTCAGAGAGTTTGTTAAAAAGCATGATATTTGGATTCAGAGTGTCACCTGGACATATGTTCATGTGCTTGGCTTACACATTTGGAAAACCACTGAGAGGAACGGATGCAATGTGTAGAGAGAGCATGCTTTTGCCTTTGTTTGTTATATGTACCTCTACCCAATCAATAATAACTCAAAAATGACTCCAAGTAATAATAGCACAGGGACTGGATCTAGGCTCAGCCAACTTGCAAAAGGGGCCCTATGTCAAACAAGCAAACATATTTATGCATAATTTTTAAGAACCTTAAATCACAATACTTCTTTTCATTTGCTGTGTACCAAGGGTTCTTGCTTGGAAGCTATCTGGTTAAAAAACAATTACATTAAGGTGAGTGTGGTGTTGCATGCTTTTAATTTTAGCACTCAGGAGGCAGAGGCTGGTGTGTCTCTGTAAGTTCTAAGCAAGCCTGGTCTACATAGCAAGTTCCAAGCCAGCAGGGCTACATAGTGAGACTCTGTCTCAAAAAAACAAAAACAGCATGACACAGGTGTACCCACCTACATGCAAGCAATACATTCATGCACATAAAATAAAAATAATAAATAAATTATTTTTTAAAAACCCAATTATATTAACAGATGATAGATAGATACATGATTGATAGATAGATAGATGATAGATAGGTAGGTAGATAGATTGATAGATGATAGATCGATAGATAGATGTTAGATAGATAGATAGATAGATAGATAGATAGATAGATAGATAGATAGATAGATGATAGATCGATAGATGATAGATAGATAGATGATTAGATGATGATGATAGATAGATGATTAGATGATAGATAGATGAACATTTAGGCTAAAAATGACCCATCTCTAATTTTTCCAAAAGCCTTCCCAAGTATATCAAAGGAGAATTTTGGGGGAAACCTATAAATTTAAAGAATTATTCAGTCAATAAATAAAATATACTTCAAAATATACTTAAATAAAGTATAATATACTTTATTTAAATATAAATATACTTCAAAAGCACATTTAAAACCGTGTTTATTGAGTTAAATAAACTTTCATTCATGCTGCCTTCAGACCCACAGAATAGCTGAGTTTTCCCAGCCAAGTAGCAGATGCCTTCTGATTGCCTTTTCATGCTCTGGCATTAATCCAGACTTACTCAGGCTATCAGAAAAATGTACTCAGTGCTTTACCCAGGACCATGGCTATCCTATAACTGAGGCCAGCTCAATGTCCCCAGAAATTACAGAAAGCCAAAGGAAAGAGTCTATCAAATGAACAGAGGAGCAGGTACTGGTTCTGAAATGTGTTTCCTTACTATCAGCTTCATAAAAGTTCTGGCTTCTACCCATCGGAGGCACCCGAAACCAGCCTCACTCAAAGGCAGACTTGTTTGTACAGTTTATTCTACATATCAACACCTCTCTCCCTAATATCTGGCAAACTTTTGCTATACCTCCATAAAAAGCACAAAATGTCAGCTGTTGCATCCTACAAAGTAATTTAACATCCAAGAGGCTGGGCTGAAGAGATGGCTCAGCAGTTAAAAGCACTGGCTGCTCTTAAAGAGAACTCAGGAACCCAGCACCCACATGGTAGCTAACAACTATCCTGAATTCCAATTGCAGGGGACCCAATGCCCTCTTCCAACCTCTGTGGGCATTGCACAGCACAGGTGTACTTATGTACATGCATGCAAAACACTCTAACATATAAAGTAAAATAAAATAAATCAAAATATTTAAATAAATAAATAAAATCCAAAGAGCTAATGAGATGATAGTGTCAAATATATTATTGGAGAAGGAAATTGATGCAACATGACAACCTCACTGTTTTATTTACAAAGCATATAATTAATTAATTGTCAAACTCTCGCTGTTCAATACAATACAGTCTATATGTAGTGGAGCTAGGTAGGTTTGTATTTTTCAGTAGTTATTTTCTGACCTTTAAGATGCTACTTTCTGTTCACATCAATAATACACTTGATTTGCCTCACATGCTAGTGGTTTCTAATGAGCAGGACATTTCTCATTATTGTACATTTGTAGAATGAGAGACAGACTACTCAATAATACGCAATTAAGCCAAGAAAATGCAATTGTTTTCATTAGGGAGCTTACAAAAGCTTAACAGATGGATAAGACCAGCTAATATATGTACACAGAGCTCCTGGGGAGGAGAAAAAAAAAAAACAAAAAACATGCTGCAGTGATTTCAAGAGGTAACTCTTACGAGCTTTAATACTTCAAACCTTCCCAGGATCCAAAGAGATTCATGAAAGATAATCACTAGATGCAATTGCACATCAGCTCTCTTCTCAGATCTGTTGCAGTGCTTAGCAAAAGGTTACACTCCTTGCATATTTATATAGCGAGCAAGATATTTATACTTAATCAGGAACATGCCAAAGGCTCAAAATGGAAAGTTTCTGAAATGTCTCATCTTGGTCGATGACTCAGACCCATGCAACATACCTGTTTTAGAAAATTCCTCCTGTTTCTATCTCAGGCTGCTCAAGACCTAGAATAAAAATACAGAGAGCTCACTGGAATGCTACCTTCTCTGTTCAGTTGCTCTACTTAGCCTTGGACAGATAGGGATGGTCTACCAGTTCAGTAATCTTCTAAAATTGTTTTGGAACTTCCCCTTTTTATTGCCATATTTTAGACTAGCATATTCATGAACCAATCTAAAGGGTCATCTGAGCTCCTGAGGTAACCATCAGCATCACCTCCAACTGTTAGTAAGGAGGATGGTTTGAGCAAGCGCTTCATACACATCACCTGAATCCCCATGATCACCTAGGTATTATTATAGAATGTACATAGGAAGATACTAACATTAGCAGAACTGTGGCAAAGCCAGCATTCAAACTCAGATGAATCTGGTTTTAAAGTCTCTACTCAGTCCTCTGCCATGCTCTTAAGAAATAAGATCAGAGACTGGAGAGATGGCCCAGCAGATAAGAGCACTGGTAGCTCTTGCAGAGGCACAGGTTCAGTTCCTAGCACATACATGGTGGCTAACCCCAGTTCCAAGGGATCCAATGCCCTCATCTGGCTTCCACAGGCATTACATGCATGTGGTGCATTTACATACATGCAGGCAAAACGTTTACAAAAATAAATAAAAATAAACAAACCAAAACAATTTTTTTTTAAACTCAATATCCTCCTGTGGAGTTCTGTAGTATTTGTTGTATTTAGTGCCTACTTATTCCAGCTAACTTTCCCCAGCTACACAGAGATTTCTTGAAGAAAGAAGCTGGCCAGAAACTGCCTTATATGAGTGGGTCAAGGCTGTTGTCAGACCCCACTTCCTGGTCCATTAGCAATGATTAGGTTTCAGTTATTCTTAGATGTGTCTCTTTACCACCACAAAGGGAGAAGGACATCCCTATTTTATGAGACTGTAATTATACTTGGTTGTTCCACTGTATCCCAGAACAGCAATTATCCAGGATGAGAGGAATCCCTATTTTGGTTCTCTTTTACCACCAGGGGCACCCCTGTACAAGAGCAGTAACCTCAATAGAAGCATTTAACCACTCAACATCTGAAATAAGAAACTGTCTTTTCTCTTCTTCAATCCTCACATCTACTTGGTCGTTACCACTTGTCACCATCTCAGAGAGCCTCCTCGATGATTCTAAAACTCATCCCTACCACTAACCCCTCCTTAGACCCCCACATACACCCTCAGCTGCCCCTGCCCTGGCTGTAGTCATTCTCACATCACCTCCCTGGATTGTTGCAGTGGCTTCCTAAAGGATCTCCCTGCTTCTGAACTCCCCACTGAAACCTATTCTCCCGCCGCAGTTGGAAAAGGGTTTTCATAAAATGTGATCATTGAATTTCTCTGGTTTTTCCTTTTTTTTTTTTTTTTTGTGGGGTGGGGGGGGTCTCTGATTTTTTTATTGAGTCTGTGCATTTCATATAATACAATCTTAATCAAATTTAGACCCTGTCCCCCTCACTGCCCCCCCACAGCCCCCCTACCAAATTTCAAATATTCGGTCATGTATGTTAAGTCTTATCTGGTCAAGCATTTGTATCCAGGTGTCCCTCAGTGCCAGTTTATCCACTGGAATCTAGTCAGCCTATCCAGAGTCACTCCCTTAATTTATAATGCCACTTGGTTTCTCAGTGAGAAAAAGAAAAACTCATTTCATCTCCCAGTTCTTATCCAGCCCTTCAGAATCTGGCCAACATAATGGTCAGAGTTTAGTCTTAGTCAAGCTTAATACAGCCTGGCCAGGTGCAGTGGCTCATCACTATAGTCCTAGCAGAGACTGGAGGATTACCACAAGTCAGAGGCCAGCCTGGCCTACAGAGTATGTTCCAGGCCAGCCAGGGCTACAAAGTGAGATGCTGTCTCAAAACAACAAAGAAAAATTTAACATTTTCTAATTCATCATCAAATTGTAATGTCATCTTGAAGAAGTTACTTTATCTCTATGGCTCCCAATTTTTCATTAATATAAGATGAATAATAATACACTGATAAAGCATGTAAAACTTCTAATGGACTGTATGACCAAATCTCCATCTGTGTGGGTAACAAATATGCTTTTTCCATTGACAGCAGTAGTGAGCTGTAACTTGATGCACTGCATCCTCTAAAACAATCCTTCCTAAACAACATTAACTGCTGTTATCCTCCACAAATTAAAAGCTTTCTCCCATATCCTTTTCCTTTTACGTCAATAATTTATTGGAAGGAACATGGCATGTATCTTCATTTGGGTGTCCCCAAATATGTAACCTAAATTAAAAAGTCATTCAGTTGAGAGATGGTTGGAAAAAAAAAAAACTTAGCAGGGAGTAGGAAGTGAAATGGGGAAAGACTGGGTGTCAGGGAAGGAGTGTCATCAAGCAGGTACCACTGCAGGTCATCAGAGCTCGGTATTATTAAAGGTCTCTGGAATGGCCTAGA